CGGTTTCGCGGTTCTTTCCGCTCGTCAGGCATGCGTATCCCGTAATCTTTTGCCAGTTCATTCATATACTTGTACCCAGGAAGTGTATTTTCCTCACAATAACCTTGTTTGCGACACCGGGTGACCATTGGATAGACAGAGCCAGTTCAATGAAGTATCCAATAGGACAAGCACCTGTGATCTCTGGCTCTTTGGAGCATCTTTCACCGGCTTGGCCCCTATCATTCCATCAACTGTCATCTTTAGCTTTAGGAAGCTGAGACGGCCACCCCCGTAAATCCTTTGACCAGCGAATTAAACCTGCCAAACCTCCATGAGATGGCCCGAAATCTCTTCAACTAACAGAGATGCACGGATCCACGATCATCGAAATTCGTATGAGCTCCGAAACAGCCGTCAACATCATACCAACTTGNAAAAATCCGGGTGACACTGTGGATGTCTTCTGTACTAAACTTACACGAAAATTTAGTTTCTTAATGAAATCAGTTTGTCTTTCCCAGGAGTTAGTCGAAGAAAATACGAAAGGAATGAGAATAGGATATCAGCTTCGGTGACAGGAGTCAGCTTCAAAACAAGTAAAACTAAATAAGCACAAATCTATCCTGAAATCAAATATACACACATAAGCTTGGTCCAGCTTCGTCACATTTTGCCTGGTGACGATTGACAAGGATAATCAATTACAAATCGAATAGGCATGAGTGTTTGCTTTAAAAACACGTCGACGGTGCATCGCGCTTGTTGCCGGTAAAAAAAGAGAACAGTGAATGACTGCTTTTACAGCTTAAAGTGCGGCCTGCACCTTGGAAACGAAACCGGGATTTCACCCGACAGACCGTGTGGTGAGCTCATGTATCAAACGGGACCATCTTGCTAGCGTAAGACAGGAAGAGATTGCACACTAAAGNNNNGTGCACATCTAATGGTTGTAAGAACTGAATCGACCCGAACTCTTATCCATATAGTCCCGTAATTCGACGGTGCAGACATCGAATTATCAACAAAATGATCATACAAGTATCGATTCATTCGATGATTGAGATCTTCACTACTGCTGCATCCTTTATTCTCCATACTATCACAGAGCTCAACTAAGAATAAAAATAACCTAGGGAACACTGAAAAAATAGCTACGGCAGTCCTACAGCTGTTGTATCAAAGCACCAACAAAAGGTAACCAGAACTTGGCCCAAGACCTACGCAAAATCCAAGAACCAGAACTCGTCCTCCAGCAGAAAATGTCGAAACTACACTATCAATAAATGATTTTTTAAACCAACGCCTAAGGTTTTCTCAACAAATTTGCACAGCCGGAACGTCGTTGCCCAATTGGTCAATGGAACATTATCGTGGTGCCCGAAGCTTTGCTGAAGACATCCCGGACACAGAATAGCGCTCACCGAATATGACGATGCATAGATGTGATCGCGTGTAATGAGGGATCTGCTGCTCCATTTCAACAACAAACTAGTGTGCTGATTTATAAGCGTGCTGCTACCTCTAGTTTGGTATATCGCAAAGTAAGACGACCGCGCATCTATGTTCGTCTCTATCCACAGAATCAGTCAATGATAAGCGCCTGAAAACCATGAATCATATTGTCATTGATGTTGACGAATGTTCGGACCATAGGTGAAAGTAAGTACCCAAATCCGACTAAGTAATAAATAAATAAAATGTCTTTCTACTTCTTTTTTATTTATTCCATATACAAATATACAGTCAACATTCAGGAAGGGGGCCGCAGCCATACAAAGGGTGCCTAGGAAGACGGGCGGCGGTGGAGCAGTTCGAACCCCGGACTCCCGGGCCACAAGTTGCTGACCTAGCCACTTGGCCACCGCTGCCTTTGAGCGTTAGTTCATATCTTATTGAGTCGTATCGTTCGAGGGAACCAACGAGCTAGGAGCCAGTCTATTTTTGACCTTGAACATGGTGTTAACAAACGAGGAATTGATAGTGGAATCGATTGCTACCAGAGCCCCATAAGGATATACCTCTGTTACGCATTTTTACCACGATTTTTTTGGGATAACACGACCTTTATTGACTAGACAAAGAACTTGGAGCAAGATATCCCATGGGTCTTCCCCAATGAGTATTGCTCCGGTGTCCTGGAAATAACTTACGAATCCTCTTACAGAACTGACGAAGGCCATGACCAAGATAAAACACACCAGTGCCATTTATATTGGTTGTTATGTGTTTATGTGGTAACCGCGTTTTCCCTTCGTGTGCTTGAGTGCTGAAGAGTTGAGCCAAGTGTTAGTGGTAGACGAACTTTCATTGCTGTCATTTCAGAGTAAGCTATCTCGGATCCCCATACGTGCCACCTAATTTCTGTACCCACGTCATGATACTAATAAGCCAACGTATTTACTACACCTCTTGGCGTTAAGATAATGATGACGTCGTTAAAGGCAACCAAGGGGTGGTGGCACTGTCATTTAGTCGCTGTCACTAGCTTGTTTTAAACCCTATGGTCGTCCGGTTAAATACCACGTCTAACCTATCGGGGCCTTATGTGGTTCGCCACTCCAAGTCCCGGGGCTTAGGTTGTCCGTTTCCATGACGGAGCAGCAGGTCTTCGTGACTATGGGGTTCGCCCTGTCTGCTGTTCACCACACAAGTGTGTAATGAAAAAAGCTGCTGAATAAACTGATTCAGGGCGCTGACCGCAGCTCTGAAGAATGTCAGTCTACTTAAGCGTGTCTTAAGCTGATTTGAGCAAACGCTGTTTCCACGTTACCAGTGGGCACACGGTGAGTACACCTAGAATTTGTGGTTACACCGCAGTCGCAACGTTTCGTACCGTCCCCAAAGGATGAGTATCAAGACGATCTATGAATTGCATCCCAACATCTATGTAGGCAGAGTGCAATTGTTGAGATAACACTCCCTCCGTTGAATGTCATCGATTTCGGGGAGAACTGATTTGATGTTTGAAATACTTTAGAAGCCCAACCGCCCATGCCTTCTGGTGTTCGTGCTCTCGCCCAAGGTCCAACTCACTTCAGGTAGCGTTCCCAAAAGACGTTAGTGGCCACTGGTTGAAATCTTCTACCAGTGTCCACCATTGATTCTTTCAAGTATGAGCATCCATGAAAATAAATGAAACATTGAAAGGGTGAAATCAAGAGATGATTCTCGTGTGCGAAGCTGTGTATAACATATCATCACTCTTTGTCCTTACAACTGACTTATCCATGCCAAAAGCCCTCGGGACAAGAAAATCAATAGCTTGTAAGCATTTTCTGTGATAAAACTTTGACTTCCCGTGCATCCTATTCTATCATCTACAATCAACTCGGCATATGCTTC